TCTGGGGCAGGGCGATCTCACCCTCCAGCCGCCAGGGGACCTCGCACTTCTCACCCTGTGTCTTTATGCACCCACTGAGCCCCTGCTTATTGTTCTCAGCTAGCAGACTCCTTCCACTCACCTTGCCAGATCCTATTGAACATCACCCCCTCCGGGAAGCCTTCCCTGAATCCCTGGCCGAGTTTTCATTCCCTCCTGTGCTCCTCCACATCTCGTCCACACCTCTTACAGCACTGATCAAACCAAACCAAATATGCCCTTCTCTCCCCTGCCCCTACCCCGAGACCATGAGTTCTTTATAATAGTACTAAGTATAGTAGAAATAATTATAATAGCAGCTAATCCATACTGAGCACTTACTCTGTGCTGGGCACTAAGCTCAGTGCTTTGCACAGATTATTAATCTTGGTAGGTACCGATAGTAGCTTTTCAGATCAGGAAACCGAGACTACGAGAGGCTCAATACGTCACACACATAAACGTCAGGGTCGGAGCTTGACCCAGAGGGCCTGACCCCAAATTCGTATTCTCAACTATTCATTCATCAGCTGATGTTTACTGAGCCCTTACTACGAGCCAGGCACTGAACTAGACATGAGGGGTATAACCATGAGTGAAACCAGACCCCATTCCCGCCTGGAGAGAGCCCAAGGCATTCACCATGTAATCCCCACAGGCAACGTCAAAGTTATGGTCGTGGCCCGGGCTGTGGGGAGGAGGGCGTGGTGCCACACAGGCCCATACCGGGGCAGTCGGCCCAGCCCCGAGTGTCCCGTCTCCACATCTGATGGCTACGCTCAGTTCCAAGCCCCCAGCCTACGCAGAGGTTGCTCACTGGGTGTTTCTTCACCCGTGGGAGCCATTCCGGCTCCCGCCCTAGCTCTCTTCCAGGCCCTCCGCCCCAGGCTAACTTAGCAGCGCTTCCTGCCCAGGGCTTCAGAGCTCCCTGCAGGTCTCCTGTGGCTTTCCTGAAAGTATAGCGGATGTTTCTCTGCTGATGATGAGAGATTCAGACAAGCCACTTAGTGATTAAGAGCCTCGAAGTGTTCTCTCAGAGGGGGAAGCATTGTTCTTGCCTCGCTCGGCCTGGACGCCCGAGACAGATGCAGAGGCACTGACGCTGCACACGGCCTGTTTAGGGGGGAGAAAACTCGCCCGGGAGGAGATCAAAACACTCCGGGGCAGTGAAGACTGAAAAGATGAGAGAGCATTTGGGTTTCAAATCCAAGTCGCTAGATTCCTTGAGGCGGGCAAGAGACATCGGCCAGGCATCCTCGGGTCATCTCGATGGATGATGGCTGATGACAGCTTTTCTAGTGCGAATCTTTGGTTTTATGGCTTGGCAAGGACCTTAAGGACAGAACAGCTAGGGCAGCGCCTTCATGTTAGAGACCGAAGCCCAGAGCTATGAAATGACACGCCCAAGACCTCGAAGCTAGTGAGTGGCAGAGGGATGGAAGCCTCTGGGGCTCTCTGCTCCTTCCTGGGCAGCCCGCCAAAAGGAACTCGTTTTCTCTGCCCAGGGCCGAGCGCACCAGGGAGAGAGAAGTGCTTTGATAAGCTGTTGCAGAAGGGTTGCTGGGGAGCCAGCGAGAGGGAGCTGTGCGATGGACGGGCCTTTAAGAATCCGACTGTCTGGACGCCTGGACACTGCGGCAGGGGACAGCGCTGCTATAATGGGCAGTGATGGCAGGTGGATGGGCTGCTCTTTACGCACAGACTTCTTTAGGAGCCAGCATCCTGGCTGTCCTAACCCTGGCCGCAGGCCCGCCCCCTCCGAGCCCTTTTAGCTTGCTCCTAACCTAGGGAGTCGAGAGGGCCACGTGGGTTTCTGCCCCTTTCTGGACAGCAGTGACCCCTCCAGCACTGGGAGCTCATTACCAGCCAGGGCCCCTAAGGCGGCCCCCCTGATAGCGGGTGAAGATGAAAGTAATAACGTGCTGGCTGCTCTGCAGCCCCTGGTCACACTCCTGGTTTTATTAAAGCCCAAGTCTCCAACATCCCTAGTGAGGATAAAAGGCTAGGAAGGCACAGAGATCTGGGGCCAAAACCTCCTGAGAGGTGAGGACAGGGCAGAGAGGACCTCGCAAGGGCAACCGGGGGCCTGAGCTGCGGGCCAGGCTTTCCAGAGGGGGGGGGGCTGCCAAGAGATGCTGACACTCTATTTCCTTAGTCCTCATCTCTCTATTTACTCAAAATCAACCTATTCATCTTCCTTTATCAAATAACCCAGTCCTCGGCTGCCTGCATATGGAGGGGACCAATAGCCCCCATGATCCATTGAGCCAAGAGCAGCCAACTTGCCATCAGGCCTAGTGAGGCCCAGTCAGCCACAGCAGAAGGTTCTGGGGCCAGGCTGTGGGCCCCCTGGCCCCTGAGGCCTCTCTGCCTCCAGGTCCACGGTGAGACCTGGGCCACTCCCTCTCCCTGTCTGGGCCCAGTGACAGAGGCTGGAGTTCGCTGTTGGGTGTAGGGACCAGAGCGGGGTGGGGGGTTCCACACCACGATCCAGACTCAGCACTGCATGCACCCACCTTCCTAGTTCTATGGAGAAAGGGAACCCCTGCGGAAAAGAGGGGGCCTCCCGGGTCGGTGCTGTCTCTGGAGAGAGCCACCCTGAGGGCAGTTCCTAGAGCCTCCAGTGATCCTGTTTACACCGAGGTCTCCCTCATCTCCCCAGGCAGGTTCCCCAAGTCCCAAGACATCAGCTTGGGCGCTCCTCAAGCAAGACAGCCTGTGAGCGCTCCACTCTGCCTCCGGGGGGTGGCGATGGTGGGAAAACCGAGACAGCAGCCTGTGTTCGCTCCCCCGGGAGCCTCCAGATTCCGTCCTGGGCTCTGCCCCGATCATACCCCTGACACCGAGAACCACTCCTGCAGGGTTCTCCTGGCCGAAACGTAACCGGCCGCTCCTGCTGGCA